ACAGATGACAGCGAGTGTGAACAAGTGATATGGTTGTGCTTCTACTTCTTGATTCTTCTAAATGAACCACTGAGGTTTGTGAGTAAATTTGGCACTTGAACTAGATGTGAATTTTTAAAATCTCATCCCAGTAAACATTATCGATAGTCTGTTCTGGGCTTGGAAGCAAAACTGCTCTGACATAGTTACATAAAAATCCATTGCTCTGTCCAGAAAGTACACATCTAAATGAGGTATTTTATAAGAGATGGAATAGCAGAGGAGTTGGGACAAGAAGATAAGAGGAGCAGGGAGCAACAGGGGAAAAAAGTAACTGCTTCTCCCACTCCAAGGCACTGAGGGATGTTCCCTTGCAGTTCAGGGAGCCAAATTTTCTGCTCTCATGGAGAGATTCAATCTTTTTCCTTAGAAGAAATGCTCCCAATTATCTGTGTCCACATAAATACTTTTAGCCAGTGAACAGGTTGGAAATTGGTCAATTCCTGTAATCTTTGCCCAAGTAAATCTCAAAAGCAAATTAAGGGATTTTGGGGATAACTGAGGTCAGAATATGACTTCCTGAAAAGTTACACACTGAATAAACTCTATGGATCAAGTTCTCAGTTGGAGTTCTTTTGGTTTAGACCAAATTTTTCCTTCAGAAAAATGAGAGCTCCAGTTGGACCAGGTGACACAACCTGCTCCAGGATGCTGGAGCAGTGCACTGAGAGCAGCCAGTGGTCCTGGCCATGCCAATCTCAGGAGATTACAATGTCAAGGTGGAGAGTATATTTTATGCTTTTTTTGTAGAAAAAATGGATTATTCTTGGCAGTTCTTACCATAGTTACACCCCTAACACCAATTCACTGCCTCATTGCAGCCTCCTGACCACAAGTACTTGTATTGAGGCTGGTCAAAAATCCCATTTTGCAGTGAAGACAGAGCCCAACACTTTCCCAGCTGGTAATCCCTTGTGTGACAGAAAAAACCACCACAAGAGACAGTCAGGTGTTAGGGACCAAGGCCAGGCCAGAGTCCTGGCAGTGCAGGAGGCAGAGGAGTTTGTGGCTGTGGGTGAAATTGGAGTTTGAGGCTCAGTTTGTCCGGTCCAGGTTGGTTGTGGGGATTGGCCGTGAAAGTTAAATTTTGGATTAACTACACCTGAATGAAATTGGAGGCAGCAATTTAGCCTGAGAAAGGGATGAAAAATGGCAGAGGCTTGTAGACAAAACAGTGTTAAAGTTGTTGTTGACCTCCCATCATGTCATGACCTGAATTTCTGTGCTGGCTGTGGCCACCAGGAAAGGAGAAGTCACTAGCAGAGGATGTGCTAGGACTTGTCATTGTAGGTCAGGAGGGAAAGGAAGGAACTGAATTTGACTCCACGAGGACTCAGATTTCTGCAGTATCCCCTATGGGCTGTCTCTCCTGAGGTGCTGGAATCATCTGCCAGGGGATTTTATTTGTGTGTTTGTTTGGTTTTTCTGTTGTTTTTACACCAGAAGAAACTAGTGACAGTTGTAAAGAAGACTCAATTGAAACCTTTCTTCCACTTTTTGTCATTCTGTGGGTGCATTAGTCTCAACCATGCTGAGTTTTCCTTCCTCTTAGGAAGGGGAAGTATATAAATATATAAATAAATATAAAACAAAAACCCACAGCAAAAAGGACACTTCAGCCTGAATATTGCTCTTTGTTTTCCATTTGATTGTGTATCTCAATCTCAATTAATTTCTTGGCTGCCAAATGTAAAGCCTGTCCAGTTCTTTCCAATATAATATTTAATATTCTGCCTTTCTACATCATCTTCTTAAGGATACAAATTGTTCTCGCCATTCAGTTTCTGCACATTTGCAAATCCAGTTGCACAGATTGGGAGCCTTATGCTTCTTTTTGTGGCCTTTAATCTTTTTCTTTAAAACTTTTAAATTTCTCTAGTCTCTTTGATCACAACCACAATAAACTCATCCTCCCTACAGGGTTTAAGACAATCCCAGACTCTGTGGCTAGGAGAGGCAATAAGAGAATTAGAACTAAGAAAGAAATCAGTCTTGTTCTCTAATGACTTCTTATTTTCGACTGCTGATAGAATGAGAAGATTAAATGTCTAGCTGCAAATCTTGTGAGGACAATCTGAGAAGGGGAGAAGCATAAATGATTAGACAACAAGTTCTGTCAGCAAAGGGAAGTGAGAATGTAATTCAGCAAAATTCTGGAATGGAGGGAATGGTCAGAGACAGCCTCGGCAGCAAATACGGCAGCATTGAAAAGGTTGAAAAATTCCTCCTGCTTCTGACAGATTGGCAAAGGCATCTGTCACCCCCACTGCCATCTCAGCCCTTGGAAGAGAGATCTTGGGAGGTGCAGTATGTGGCTCCAGCCTGGGACAGAGCAGGGCACGTTTCTTCAGATGAGACATTGGGTAATAATCCCCATTTCAGTCCTGGCAAATGTGCAGAGATTTGCATGTGCTTAAATTGATGAGGCTTGTACCTACCCCATCCACAGTCAGAGCCTCAGCTGACCTGGTGATGACCATTTAAGAGCAATCTCCATTATTTTATACAGATTACGGTGAAATGCATCTGGTTCCAGAAATAGCTCCACTGATTTCATTGTGAGCTGCTCTGCATTGCTGAGTTTGTTCAGGAAAAAAGCAAATGAGGAAGCTTATAAAAAGTGACTTACATTATATATATAGACACAGCAGTGATTTTCAACAATGTACCAGCTCTGAGAAGGAGCACTATAGGGGAAGGACCTCTCAGCTCCAGTTCGTTCAAATAACCAGCATCATTTTTTTTGCAAAACAAGGATTGGAGAAGGAAAATCAGTACAGAAATAAAACCAGGCTGAAGTTTCTCTTTGTCAGTTCTGCTGCAGCTTCAGACACGTGAATATGTTACGTGCAGCTCAGGGACCCTTCGGTGTTGCCTATTTTATTCACTGCCGAGGCAAGTTAGAACTGTAGAGTCAAACTTCAGCCTTTTCTGTATTGAGTTATGATTTCCTGGGCAATGCTCTCCTCACCAGCTGCTGCTGTGTTCACTGGAGTCCTCTGCTCACTTGGAGAGCTCTGAATGGGCAGCCCCATTGCTTGCAGCAATAATAGGGTGGCATTCTTGTTACTGAAGAGTTGCAGGCGTTTGGTATTTTTGACTGTTCCTCTAGGATGAAATTAAGTGAAATTAAATCAACAGAGAGTTCACTGCATTTCTTTTTTAACAAAAATAAACCCCCAAAATATTTATGCTTCCTGGAAATGTCACTATAGAACATCGTGCCCCGAAGGAAAAAGCACATCATGAGCTTCTTACTGATTCTGACAGCGTATGCACAACTTCCCTGAGTTTCATGGCACTAATTCATGGCAGCCTTTTAACTCAGTGCTGTTTCCACATCTCAGAACCATGAGAGAAATGTGTTGCAGACACAGTGCAAGTCACATGGGTCACTGAGATGCCTAAATAATTCAGTTATGACACACAGATGGATCCTGTGCTGCAGCTGCAAATGTCCTGTGTTTGCAGAGCATCCACATCCATTGCCTTGCACGGAACAGGAGACTTGGGGCTCCAACCCAGGTCCTAAAGGACTGAGATAAGATGAGCTCTGTGTGTGCACAGATGGATAGGGGATGCTTGCAGCTTCCAGTGGGGCAGTTCAGCCAAAGTTTTGATTCTTGCTGTAACAGCAGCTTAGGCTGAGTGATCACAGCAAACAAACATCTGCATGTTGTTATAGTCCTTGGAGTGAAAAGGTTGGAAACACCCTGAGCCCAGGGAGTCACACACAGCCATGGACGCTAGTGCAGAGATTGGAAAGCACAGCAAAACCAATCTGAGTTGCTGACTTGACTGTTTGTAGTCAAAGTCTCCATCCAAAAAGTCCAAGGAAGAGCAGCAGTGGGAGCAGGAAGAGCTGAACGTGGTGTGTCACACTTAACAGCCTCTTGAGCTGACAGAGTGCAATGTTCCCAAAAATGTCTGTGGCATAATTCATTCAGACTTTTGTAAATCTTGCCTAGTTTGTGTGTGATCTTGAGCACACCCATTTTCTTCCCTTTGATACCTGCAGTAATCTGGAGAACGTGACAGTGTCTGTGCAGGAGCTTCAGTAGCTGTTCAGGCACGAGCCTAAAATACCTCCTGTTTCAAGTCACGGAAAACACTATAACCATCATTCCAGATGGATTTCGTGAGGGGTTTGTTCTAAAACAGCCTTGAATTTCTTTAACTCTTGCAGATTTTTGACAAAGAAGCTAAAGACCTGGAGCGAGAAGTTTGCTTCATCGACATTGCCAGTGATGAGATTCCTGAGCGCTATTACAAGGAGTCAGAGGTGAGTGAGGCTTTGGTTGTGCCCTGGGGAGAGGCTGCAGGAAAGCCTGGATAGCAACCAAACCCCTTTGTATTTTTGTCTGAATCCTGCTGGTCAGTGCTGTTGGAGAAGCTCTCAGTGAGGGCACAGACAGCAGCCTGAGCTTCTTTTTGCAGAGGATTCCTTTGGAAATGCTTCCCTGCCCTTATCAGAACACATGCTGTACCAGACCTTTGATATTCAGATGAATGAACCCGAAGTAGAAAAGGCCTTTCCTTTGAATGATAAAGCTCAATTCAAGAGTTTGCTGGTCTGAGCAGTTTTAAACATCCCTTTTGTCCTTATTTGCATCCCACCCCGACCACTGAGCCCTGCAGAGTGCCCAAGCCCAGCAAGGGACAGATGTGCTGCAGTGACAAGGAGGCTGATGCACAGTTGCTGGAAGGTGACAATGACACAAGACCAAGAGGGACTGAAGCACACTGCATACTGCAGCAGATCTGCCAAAAAGCATCAATGGCAGCAGGCGCAGTCACTCTCCGAAAATTCCCTGGGAAATTGCTCCCATGTATATTTGATGGAGCACAGCTCTTCAGAGTGTGTTTCTTCTAGGTCAATGCAATTCACTGTTTGAAATCAGCAGCCACCATGCAAAGGAAGATGAGGTCTCAGTGTTTTAATCTCAGAGTTGAAAAATGATGGCTCACAACAAGCAGCTAGAGAGGAATGATCAGATCTGTGCTCGCATTTAATTTTGGAGATATGAATTACCTCTGGAGCCAAGTCTCTATTCATAGCTGGCAGTGAGTGTGGCAGCTGCTTGACTTTACAAAACGAGACTACAGGATCATTTTTAGGCTAGAAAGTGAAGACTTGCCAATGAATATATTTCTATACTACAGGAGACATGGTTTTCAGACTAAAAAAAGTCAGGTACTTGTTACCTTCCATTTATAGATCCTACTTCAAATGTTATGTGCAGGTCACAAACCAAAATTGGGTCTGCAGTAGAATGAAAAGTAATTTTATGAGTTTCCTTAGATAATGAAACCCATCTGTTTAGTACCCAAATTGTGTAACACCTCATGGAAAGCTAATTGGGCCCATCCTGTGGTCTGAGCCCTGTGGATTCCAGCTCTGTTTGGAGTGAGCTGCTCTGGACCAGGTCAATGTTTGTCTGTGCCTTAAAGAAATGGTGTGAGATTTGCTATCTCACTCTGTGCACTTCAGGCATTTCAAACACCAAGGTAACATCCAGTTCTGCAACTTTCCTGCCTGTTTTTAATAACCTGCTACTAAGCAATAATCTCCATGTGATGAATCTCATAATACACAAAACTTGCCTTGTCTTAAGGGAGAAAAGAATTTCAGAGTCTTTGTGTTGTCGTTTCAAAGACAAATCTAGACCTGATTCCAAGCAAATTGGAATTTTATATGGGTTTGAATAACAGAAATAGCTCAGCATCTGTTGTTTTTTCTGTGCTGATGGATGATTTGTCTGTTGACTACCAAACTGTGTTTGAGAATTCACACAGAACAGTAAGAACACCTTTAGCATTTAGCTGTGCTCATGCTGTAACTGGTCGTGAATTAGTAATGGTTGAAGGTTGTGTCTCTTCCCCAGTTTACAGACTGTGGGGGTTTTATGATGCACATGAAGCCAAATTCCCATTTCTGGTGAGGCCTCTTACATAATTCAGGGACTGTGAAGAGATTTTTTATGTTTGTAATTGTAATTTCTGTCTGTTTGCAGTCAGAGCAGCATAAAAAAGTAATTCTGTGCAAATGAGAAAGGGTTTGGGTTTCCCAAATAACAGCTCCAGAGATAACTAACCCCAGTCTGTGTAAGCTTTTAAAGGGTGTTTTAGTGGCACTAATAACAACAATTCAGCTGCTTTTAGATCATGTAATCTGAACTGATACTAAGTTTAAAGATTAAAAGCAAAGTGCAATCCTAAGGATTTAACAATTAGATCCCACAGGATAAATGTCCTGACTCCCATCCAGAAAGACCAGTGAGCACAATTTTAACTTCAGGCATGTCAGTAATCTCTTCATTTCAGTGGCTCTTTCACAGGCTTAAAATAAAGCAAGTTCTGTCTCAGGGTCAGTGTGCTTAGCAGCTTCTGGAAATGAGCTTTACATTTCTTCCCATCCTGACGAAAGTGCCTCCCTCTTCAATTAAAAATACACTCCAGTTTCTAACAGCCAATGTCATTATTTAGCTGTATTGCTGCATGTAACAGAGCAACTTAAATAATTTCAGCCCTTCACACACTGCCTCAGTGCTGCTCTGGCAGAGGAATGAAGCCACTGCTCTGTCCTACCACCTGTGAGCTGAGAAACAGCTTCTCACTTGCCCTGACATGAGTCTGGTAACCAGATCTCTGCTCCTACTCACATTTTCTTTTACATAATAATGATCCAGGTATAAAAAGGCAAAATGTATAAACCATTCTCCTAAGTGTAATATTCCATTTGAATTGCACAGCTCGTTCTGACCAGTGCTGGCACTGATGAGAGGGGAAAAGTGTTCCATGGAAATGTCCTGACAGTTGAAGGGAAGTGATTGAATTCAGCTTTGTGCATATTTGCTTTTCTCTCTTCTAAATAGTCACTAGAATTGGAAAGTGAAGATTGTGGTTAGCTGGAGGCTTAAGGAGAGCTGTTGTTTCCTTGAGGAACTCTTCAAGGGAACCTCTGCCAATAATGCTGAGGAATCTCTTGAACAGAATCATCCAAGTGATTGGAACTCCCTTAGGGATGGAAGGTTTATCTGTCAGAGTGAGTGCAGGACTGAAATCACCAAGAGAAGAGAGTTTTGTGAGCTATTACAAACACTTGCAGAGTCCAACTCTGCCTTCCATGGAGGTGGATTTCTGCCCATGGCCAAGGCTGCAGGAGGTAGAACTGCAGCAATTTGGGCATCCCAATCAGATGAGTTAATTTTAACTTGATGACCATCCTCAAACTCCTTTGTGCAATATCCACCAGGACACTTAGCAGTGCTGCCACACCTTAGATCCTGGAGGTTTTACAGGCATGGACCTAAAAATCCCTAAACTTTAGGAAGTTTAAATGCGAGGTTCCAAATGGGGAAATCTTGACTCTAGGTCCAAGCTACCAGGTTTGCCTGTTTGTCTGTGAGGAAACACATGGCAAATGGGAATGTACATCAGAGTTTCCTGTTTCTGTCCAGAGAATGTACCAGGTAAGAGTAGTTGTACATTCTGTCAAGTCACTCCCTTGTGACTTTACCCTGGATGAATATGTATCACCATCCATCCTGTGCTCCCCATATAGACAGATATATTTATCTGAGTTATAGAAAAGAATAAAACAGAGCTGTGCTGAGGAGTGAGAGCCTCCAGTGAATCATTCATGAAACGAAACATTTAGCAGAGATGTGAGCTACTGAGCAAAATGTTCTGTGCAAACATATTCAAGTTCTCAGAACGAGCAGTGTTTCATTTCCTGTTTATAACAAAGCAGAGCAGAGCTGGACAAATGGAATAAACTTTTCAGGCTACCTCCAAACAGAAGGATTTTATGCAGCTGCTGCACTTTTCTCCTTCAGTTGCTCTCCCCCTTTAGCACAGCTGCTCTGCACAGGTCCAGCTCAGCAGGGTCCAGGTGCTCTTGGGGTAACCAAACCTCTCATGTTGGAGAAGGTGCTGGAGTCATCCTCAGCCCCAGGGAGTGTGGGCACAGTGTCAGCACAGCAGTTATGTGCAGGACAGAGCAAACAGCACCTTTCCCTTACTTCAGATGAGAGTTTACAGAAAGACTGGCTGGATTATCATATTTTAACACCTCAGAACTGTCCCAATATTTATAGTTCTAAAGTATTTAGCTGCCTCTTCCAGAAAATACATTTTAATGGAAATTAAAAAAAAAAAAGTCCTTAAAAATGACTCCACATAAATGTCTCTAGTAGCATCTTTACATTAACAAATCCACCCTGAGCCCTGGCTATAAAAGCTGGAATCCAAACCCTAGCAGCTCCAGCTGGTGCTGAAATGCCACATCATGGGTATTAAACCCATGAAGGATTGGTTCTGAAATTCGAGATCAAACAAAATGGTCTTCAGCTTAAAGGGGAAAAAATTGACTGTACTTCAAAAGCAGAGTAGTGGAATATATTGTAATAGGTGTCTGAAAGGATGAATCCAGGAAGGAATTAAAAGGAAGGAAGGAAGGATTTGTTTGTGGGACATTGCAGTGAGGAACAGGATGGATGTGCTTCCCCCTCTGGCAGCATGTGCAGCTCAGGGACTTTGCCCATGCTGAAATGGCCACACAGCAGCAAGTGAGTGTCAGGACAGAGGAGTGACAAGGCTGACAAAGTGTCCAGGCAAAGGAGGTGCTGCCAGCTGCAGGATTGTGTGACATCTTCCAGTCATGGCCTGTGCCATGGCAGAGCTCAGGGCAAGGATGGCCACACAGGTTTGTAGGTTTTCTGTAAACAGCACATGAATTTCATTATTTAAGTACAAAGAACAGCTCAGAATTAATCCTGAAAAGCCATTGCAACAACACAGTGCCATGTTGGTGTTTGCTTCCTGGAAAGGGGTTACAGTTCCTTGCCTGATGCCTGTGTCATCTGCAGGGCATGAGGAAAGGTGAGTAAATAAATGCTAATGCTGGCTGATAGACTCTCCAACAATAACCACATTGAGCAGCACTCGTGGTCTGTCAGAGACCCTGGGAGAGTGCTGTGTCTGAAACCATACCCAGCACACTGTGGCTTTTATTTCTCTGTAATTTTACATTTTATTCTCAGCTAAGCCCAGCTCATGGGTTATGATGTTTCTGCTTTGTTGGCAGAAGTGCTATTTTTAAATCACTCTGCACCTGGCAATAATGTATTGCAAATACAGAGGAGGTTTTGCTCCTCTAGCTAAAGGATTTGCCAGATGGGCTTTCCTAATAAATTGTGTCTGATAAAAGGACAAGAAGGTTATTTAAACAAAAAGATTTTAGCTATGCCATTACATTTAAAACAGATTGAGGATTTTGCTAGTAGATAAATTAAGGGGAAGTAGTGAGCAGACTCAGTATTCTTTGGGGTTGGCTGCTCTGGCAAGGAAGGCAGAGGTGGCCAGGAGGAAAAATAAGGCACACACAAAATCAATGATCTAAGTAACAACACAACAGTGGGAGCAGAGCAAAGCTCAGCTCACCTGGGTTGTAGTCTTGGGCAGAAGTGTTTCAAACACAAGTGCCTGGAGAAGCAGTGCTGGGCACCAGTCACATTTCTACTTGCTTTTAACAGCAGGTTATCAGCCCTGCCTCAGGTTTTGTTTTAGAAGGGCCTTATATGCCTCATTGCAAAAGGATTCCATGCTGTGCACCTTGATCTGAGCCCATGAGTGAGGCACATCATTCACTGATTTCAGTGGACTGATTTGCAGCAGGCACTGAAAGGCTAACTATGAGCAGTCCTGGTCACACCAAACTCCCTCTGGCATGGCATGGGAAAGGTGTAAATACATGCAAAAGATAGAGATGAATATAGAGATTCTTCCCCCAAATCACAGAACCATAGAACTTTAGGGGTTGGAATGGACCATACAGATCACCTAGTCCCAACCCCTATATATCTCCTCATGTGAACCATCACACAAGCAATTCCTGAGACAGAAATTGTGTCTTTCTAAAATAATCCAAGATGTTGTTAAACACCTAATATTTTAGCACCTGGGTTAGAGCCCAGTGATACTAGTTTTACTTCCAGCAGCTCATCTCTGCCCAACACTTGTGTGCTTGGAATGGATGGCCCAGAGATTGAGCTCTGGAGTTCACTTTGCTGTTATCACAGTGGATCTCAGATCCCACTGCAGAGCTCATGCACAGCCTTTGAAGCACTCAGTGAAGTCTTTAACACCTTGATCTTTGTACAGCAGTCTGGAAATCTGTTCCTCTGAGCTTTGGCTCCCATTCACCACTCTGCAGTTTTATAGTATCAATCTGGTAATGTTTTCAGCAGGGCAGGAATTTCCCTAAAAGCTCTTTGCTGTAGGTTGCCCGAAGGGTCTGTCATCACCTGGCTCTTCACTTGGAGCTGCACAGCCAATTCCTGAGTAATCACCATGTCCCTCAGGAAGAAGGGAAGGATTAAAGGACACAGAGGTGCCATCTCTGGGCACTGGTGAGGGAGTTTGCAGCTGGGAGTGGTGTCAAGGGTGAGTTGTGTTCAGAATGGTTTCCATTCTGTGTCCCCTTGGCTGCTGGTTAACCTCCCCAAACCAAACCAAGTGATCAGACTTGTTCCTGAGCAATGGTGCAGGGCAGGTATTTCATTTGGATTTGTACAGTCTCTGATTCAGATTGATTGCACTAAATCCCTTTGGACTGCACTGGAGTTAGTCCATTACAGATCTGGTTTTCTCTGAAGGGATAGAAAGTACAACACTCAGAATTATTGAAGTGTGTATGAATGTTTAATCCAGGCAATGGCTCCATCACTGTGTGTGTAAGGAACTGCAGGTCTTGCCTTATAGGAAATTATTTCCTTTGTAGAAATAGTAACTTTACCCTAGAATATTTTGCAGGAATATTTGAAGTCATATTTTCTGAAATTGTTCCATGGAACCACCTACTAGAACGTACATCTCTCTGAGTATTATGTCTGAGTTCTTCCCTTTTCCCCTTTTCTTAGTATTACTATTACATTAATTGCTTCAGGCAATGATCAATTATAAAACAGCTCCTTCAAGCAGAAAACGTGTGGCTGCACCTGAGGTCAAGCTGTGCTGAGATTGGCAGCAGAATGTGACCCTGAGCTGTGCTGTCCAGGGGGTTCTGCTCTGATATATGATGATGCTGAATTGTTTTTATGGTGATTTAACATTGAAACCTTATTACCCTGCGAGCTCAAAGTCTCCACTTAGCACAGCCTGTGTCAGCAATAAAAGCAATGACTTTCACAGGGAGGAAAGACTATCACCTCATTAGAGGTTTGCAGAGAAACTTTAATGGCAGAGCTTCAGTTTATGGACAAATCCAGAAGCCAAGTCAGGAGTTAACTAAGCCTTAGGAAACAGGAATGCTGATAGAGAAGCTCACACTGAGCGGAAAAAAAAAAATGATCAGAGTAGTCTTATCAGTTTTTTGTTAGTTTTTCTCCTGATTAACTTCCATTTAGCACCTAACTTAAGCACGTATTTAAATACATGTTGAACTGCTTTTCTAACCAGGATCTTCCCAGTTCTCAGCCTGGGGGCAGGACACAGCTCAGACTGGTGGTTCTGCTTGAGGACAGATTTTAGCAGCTCCACTAGGAATTTTCTGAAGTGACATTATTTTCAAGTTCTGAAAATCAATGCTTAACTGGAAATAATGTCTGTTGACAAGATATAATTAACAGGATTAGACATAAAGGGAAATGGAATTATACCAATATGGAAAATACCAGTGTGATAGATAAAACTGTATCTTCTGCAGATGAAATTAAACTTTAAAGATGAATTCATGTCTTTAATGGGTTTATGAAATTACGTTGTAATTTCAACACCAATTTCTTTGATTTTCCACTTCCTGAAAGAGAGACAGAATTGGAATTGATGTCTGTCCATAACTTGGTTCTAAGCAGAGAGGACTGAACTGGAGGAGATCCATACTGACCTGCTCACCTGGGTGTTCAGTTCACCTAAAACGGAAAATGGCACTGCCAGGGGCAATGTTGATGTGTCAAAGCTCCAACTGGACACGATTTCAGGAGAAGAGGCATGAGTAGAAAGTACAAGTAATTCTCACCGAGGGAGAGTGGAAAAGCAGCTCTGAAGGAGTCACATTTTTTTTTCCAAAGGCCATAAATAACCCTTGGAGTGCTCTGCACTGTAATGACTTGCAATAATGTGTTTTCCTATAGCAGCAAATGTCCCAGATGAGATGACTGTCAATGCATCTCCAAAATTATGCTGCCAGGTTTGGATTTTAGTATATCCTAGTGCTTATTTCACTCCATTTCCTATTCATTTTTCATCATATTTATTAATGTGTTTTAAGATTTTATGTCATAGCAAAACATGTTCTTTAGCAAACTGACAAACACAACTTCCCCTCTGACATTTCCCTCTCTCTTTTCTTGGTTTTGCAGGATCCCAAATATTTCAAGTCACAGAAGACTGGGAGAGGCCAATTGAAAGAAGGCTGGAGAGAGACCCACCAGCCCATTATGTGTTCCTACAAACTTGTGACTGTGAAGTTTGAAGTCTGGGGACTTCAAACCAGAGTAGAGCAATTTGTACACAAGGTCAGTGAAACAGGAGCTGTTTCTTACCCTTCACCTAAGCAGAACTTGAGCACACAGAGGAATGTAGCTATGGCTGTAGGAGCCTGGGGGCTCAGCTGAGTCTGTGTTAGGACCTCTCTCAAGGTCTGAAAGATCTGGAGCAGAGCCAAGGAGTTAATCTCTGGGTATGAGCTTGAGAAAGCCCAGAGCTGCTCAGGCCTGAGGTTGGGAAAAGCTCTCAATAGCAGTTTCAATACTGTGATAAATATAGGAGCTAATTTATAAGTATACGTAAGTACCATACACATAGCAATGATGTACAGAATTCCTTAAAAACAGGTAGTTTCCAATCAGTCTACTAAAAATTAATTAATGAATGACATAAGAGCCAAATGAAAAGATTTTTCAGAGTATTGACCTTCCACATGTTTAAAAAAACTAAGGAAAAAGAAGAGATCCAGAATGTCTAATTGCCCAAAGATTAATGGATTCTGTCCATGTTCCCAGTGGATTCCCATGCCAACATGATCCAGGGATGCAACCTCAGTGGGAGGTTGGACTGACCCTTCAGAGCCTTGGCTGAGTCTCCAGGGCATGTCTCTTAGACACAGAGCTCTCAGAGTTGAGAGACAGTGGTGTTACCTTCCTGAGGTGTTTGGTTGGTGCTGTGTCTAACCCTTTCCTCGTTGGCAGGTGGTCAGAGACATCCTCCTGATCGGGCACCGGCAGGCGTTCGCCTGGGTGGATGAGTGGTATGGTAAGTGTCCTCCAGGCTCAGCCCAAAGGGCTGATGCAGAGCTCAAGGCAGTTAACAACAGATTTCTGTTTGCTTTTGTGGCCCATCGTGCCCAGAGAGATTGTGGCTGCCCCATCCCTGGGAGTGTTCCAGGCCAGGCTGGATAGGGCTTGGAGCAGCCTGGTCTGGGGGAAGGTGTCCCATAGCAGGGGGTGGAATGAGATGATCTTTAAGGTCCTTCCAACCCATTTCTTGATTCTGTGATCTTCCTGTGAGTTGTTCATGAATGAGGTGGAGCTATGCTCAGTTTCTCTGGGACATGCAGAGCTCATTTGCAGCAGATTCTTTGTAGCCAGAGTAGGTTGGATTTAGGCAGCATCCAGGCATGGTTCTGCATCCCAACATCACTGTGGATCTGCTCCAGTGCCCTCACCCTGCTCTGCAGGCAGGTGGGAGCTGCACTGCCAGGAGTCATCTCTGTGGAGAACCTCATGAGGCTTGGAAGAAACCTTCTTACTAAGGCTGCACTAACATGCAGTCATTTCCATACTGCAAACCCCTAAGGCCTCTGAACCAGCACAATTCCAGATTTTTGGGGAAAGTTTTAAACCATTAATATGGATCGCAGTAAAGAAAAGATGGAGCTCAACATCCTTTCTGAGCATAAAGCCTACTGGGTCTGATTCAGCAGCAGCTGCATGCAAAAAGTGCTGGGGATCCATGAGCCAGCTGTGGGAATGGGCAATTCCAGGACAGAGCAATCTGAATATCAAAGCAGCCAATTACAGCACAAAATCAGCTCACAGGGTTTGTGCCTTTGCCATGTGTTTTCAGTAAGACATATCCATACCCACAGATACTTCTGGAACAGGTTCTGAGACATTCCTGTATCACAGCAGGGACTTGGGGATAAATTTAGACCCTCCTTAAGCTTCAGGAAACACTGATTTGGGCATTCATGGGGGAGTGAGACCTCTCCCATCAACCCCAGAACCACTGTGAGTGCAGTCACTGGGCACCACTGGTGCAAACTCACCTGTCCCAGTGGCTCCACAGCCCTGCACAACTGTGCTTGGAACCTGGGAACCAACTCACCGTGCTCCTCTTTTGGAAATAGAGAAAAATTTGCTGTGGAAATAACAATGTTCTTATAAATCTAATACTGCATGAAAATCTTGTGCTGTAATGATCATAAAAATACTGAAAACTGCTAAAGATATCTTCTATTCTGGGATAGCCATAAACCAGTAAGAGAATTCTGTATCCAGGGAGAGTTCTTAAGAGTTATCATGGGGTTTATTTTAGGCCTTTTTTTTACCTGAAATACAGTGATCTGTTCTTTTCCTGGGCAAAGTCAGGGAAACTGGTAACTCTAAATAAAGCAGCCTGACTGCATGTAAAAATTGAGCAGATAAATTTGCCCCAAATCTATCCAAAGTATCTGTTACAGTGAGACAGAGAATGTTAGAGGGGAGCAAAAGTGTCAGGTGCACTTTAGCAGAGTCACTGGTGATGGTGACAAATGAGTAGCCATGAAGTTCAACATACTGAGTGGGTTTAGCTCAGAAACATTTCAGCACAGAGATTCTGTTCCTGACTGAAATCACCCTGTCAAAAATGCTCTTTCCACAAATGAAATATTGTGATAAACCCACAATTATCTTGTGGGTTTTTACTGCCACAGTGAGACTTTTTGCTAAGTAATACAGTGTGTACTGTTAGAGCTTAATTGTCAGGCAAAGTACAAACCTTGAAATTCTGAGCTTGCCAAGACAGATAGGAAGAAAGACTCAGTACACAACATCAAAAGTATCAGGTTGAAAGTGTCTGTTACCATCTTTTAAAACAAAAGTTCCAGAAGGAGCTGGAGATGATGATAGTCAGCTAAACTGAATCAAAAATAATCAGCCTCAGTTACTAATCAGTGTGTTGTGTCAGGGTGTAACTGGTTATTGTTACTGGCACTGTAAGTATGAATGTGTCTTGTCAGTAAATCTACACTGGATTTAGCTTTATTATAAAGAAAATATTTTCTCAGTGTTATTTACTAATAAAGAGCATGTTCTGTGCTTGGCAAAGTGCATCCCTAGCATGTTACTGACATGGCTTGTGAGCTTGTTTTTCGTTCCAGATAACAGTAAAAGGCTAAAGTGGACGAGTTAGTGATGTTCCATGTTTCCTTTTCATCAGGATTTCAGGCTGCATTTCTTTTTTACTGATGAATTGTGGCATTGTGCAGCCAGTGTAAGAGCTGAGGTTGTATCTTTCCTTAAAAGCTGCTTGGCAAAATGGAGCAGGAGCACAGAACAAGGAGTGGTGTGATAGAGGAATTCACAGATCCCAGTGGCACATAATAAACTCAAGAAAAATGAGAGCCCCAAGAGCAGATCACAGTGTACATGACCAAAGGGGCACCCGTTTACGAGCAGCCTGTGCTAATAAAATGCTCTGTAAGTTTTATGAGTAAAAACTTGATGGCTGTTTTTATGAGGCTCTGAAGTTACCAAACCCTTGTAAAGGACAGACCAGAATCCTGGCATCCTTCTTGTTCTGACTCCTTGCTCCCCAGGGGATTTACTGAAAGCATGGGAATACTCAGAAGGGTGAGGGCACGAGTCAGTTACTGGATTTTTTATGTTCTGACTGGAATTGTGGAGTCTGGGCTGGTGTAACACAGCAGCACCTGACACTGCTGGTTGGACACCTCCAGGCAGGTCTGTGCAGTGGGAGATGGTCCTGCTGGGGGATCTGCCTCATTTGTGGGGTTTGCCTAGTTCTTGTAGTCACTGCATTGCTTGAGGCTGCACAACCATTAACACATCACTGCTCACTCACCGGGTGAGTTTCTGGAGTCCAGGCTGGGGTGGGCAGGTGAGTGTTAGTTTCTGGAGTCCAGGCTGGGGTGGGCTCTAGAGTGGTTATGACATGTACAATGCAAAGGTAACATAACATCTCTTTGCAAGTGCTGGAAAGGTAAGTAAATGTTTCTGATATTGCTGTATCTATCCTCCATCCCAAGGGATCTTCTAAAGCCTCTTTAGAAGATCGTGGCCTTTGCCAAGACCTGCACTTCAGTACTTTCTGCCTCCCTTACATTACACAGATACTCCTGAACAATTTCCACTCCTTCCTGTTCTCTGACTCCCTTTGACTTAACCTTCTTGCACCTTCCTTGGCTGACACAACTACCTTTATGAGTCAGTTTTCATAAAGCTAGTTGCTCCTTGCTTTTTTTTCAAAATCCTTTGTTGGCTTCTGCTGAAAGACTTTGTGTTCCTAGAACCTTCTTTAAAAAAAAAATCAAGTTTGCATTGAATCAATGGAAAATGCCAACAATTTTGAACTTTTTACAGATATGACTATGGATGATGTTCGAGAATACGAGAAAAATATGCATGAAAAAACCAACATTAAAGTTTGCAACCAACATTCATCTCCTGTGGATGAAATAGAGAGCCATGCCCAAGCAAGAGTATGTCCATTTTAAACATATTGCCCATCCTCAGCTATGCACCTGCACAGAACAGAGAAGAGCAACCAGCTGACCTTGCTGACCTTGCTGGAATTTTTGGGAGGTTTTGCTTCAGTAGGAAGAGAATCCTTCTCCATGAAGTGCAGTCCTGCCTTTGTTTTGCACTGATGTGAGGAAGGGTGGGTTGGGCCAATACACAGCTCCCTGTCTTCCAGGAGAACACCAGGCTCAAATTCCAGTTGGATGCACAAAGAGGAAGTTAAAAAGGAGTTTTGCCTTCTATTCTTTGACTAGTTAAAGAATGCAGGAGTTGAGAGTGTGCTTCAGTCAAAAAGCCAGGAACATGGGGAGTGGAAAACTTCTTTGGGACTGATAAAATTGTTTGTTTCACCAGGAGAAAAAATTCTAATGAATTGCTGACTCTTTTCAAAGTAATTTTAGTGCTGTCATTGAATAGCTACCAACAAGGTGGGGATTATTTTCCAAAGCTCCTAGCAGTGCTCTGTGGGGAAGGGCAGGTTTCTCTGTAGGTTCTTTGATTCCAATTCTGGAAATTTCATTAAGTATTTAATTTCCTAATTTGGGCACCACAAGCAGAAGCCTAAAATTGGAGACTGTTACTCTCTGCAAATAGAAAAGACACAGTGATCTTTGCTTTTGAAATGTCAGTATTCCTTTATTTCTACTGTCTGTGCTGTCGAACATGTCATGGTTTTACTCATGTAATCAGTGTGGGACAAGGCCTGAAGGGCTCCAAGTCTTTCCTTGGTTCTCACTCAGTGCAAACTGTCACCAGCCTGAGAAGATGTTGCCTGAGTAGTACCTGGGAAGGTAATTCTTGTGTTTGTGATGTGGCAGCTTTGCTGGCTACATGATTACTTCTTAATTGAGAATGAGTTTGGATTTTGGCTCTACACTTCAGGATTTGGCTCTGAATGGAGTCTGCCATAGTTCCCATGTGAGTTCAGAGCAGAAGTTGTCACTAACGATGAAAAAAGAGACTCTGAGCCTTCTTAGCCCATGGTCAGGATTTGTTTTACTGCACTGTCTGTCAAAGCAGAAGGAAATTAAAGCAAGTGTAGGCTAAAAAGCAAAAGTCAACTGAAGGGGCAACAAGTATTTCATGTCTGAATTGACAATTGAATTGAAAATGAAGAGTCTTGGAGGCTCCTCTTAGCAAGACTTCACTCAAATGGGCAGTGAAGTCTGAAAAACCTTCCCGTCCCCTTTCATTTTTCCAAGACAGCTTTTGGTTCAGGTTGTGCAGAATTCCTCAGTGGCAGTGAGTGCTGTGCCTGCACAGGCTCCCTGTGTTGTTGGGGGGATTTTGAACCCTTTGAGTGCAGAAACACACTGTTACAGGGTGTGAAGTGAAATGTGAATCAGCAAAACCAGGTTCAAGTCTCTCCAACACGAGTAGGTACAGTTCCTCTGGGACCATCTGTTTGTTGCCAGCACTTCTCCAGATTTGAGAGCAGCTTCGTTCTCACCCCATGAGTGTCAGTGTGGGCTGGGCAGGTCCCTGCAGAGCAGGGCAGGGCAAAGCAGAGCAGAGCAGAGCCAGAGCAGAGCCAGGGCAGAGCAGAGCAGGGCAGAGCAGAGCAGGGCAGAGCAGAGCAGAGCAGGGCAGAGCAGAGCAGGGCAGAGCAGAGCAGAGCAGAGCAGTGCAGGGCAGAGCAGGGCAGAGCAGAGCAGAGCAGAGCAGAGCAGGGCAGGGCAGAGCAGGGCAGGGCAGAGCAGTAGAGCAGGGTAAGCAGAGCAGTGCAGAGCAGGGCAGAGCAGAGCCAGGG